TATATATATATATATATATATATATATATATATATATATCTATCTATATACAATATATATATGTATATATATATATATATATATATATATATATATATATATATATATATATATATATATATATATATATATATATATATATATATATATATATATATATATATATTATATATATGTATATATATAATATATATATATATATATATATATATATATATATATATACAATATATGTATATATATACATTTATATATGTATATACAAATGTATATATGTATATATGAGTACACGTATGTATCCATGTGTCCAAAGATGTTCTGGCCCGACAGCCTAGAGTCGTCATCCTCCTCATTATTATTATTTGCATTATTCCATACTCTACTGTTGCTTTTCAACAGGACGTGAGAATATGGAGTGAGGACAACTCATTAAAGCACAAAACTCCAGGTAAGCACTAGTAAAACACTGCCAAACAGTACTAAGGAATACATCAACGACGAAGGGAAGGGCAAGAAAACACACGAAAAAGCACACTATTGCTTCGTCAGGGCATATGCCCTAACGAAGCAAGTGAAAAGGCCTTCGGCATATTCATGTGTTTTCTTGCCCTTCCCTTCGTCGTTCCTGTTGCAATCTGTTCAACATGAATTCCACATACGGAATACATCAACGGCCATGGAAAAGGAACAGAATGGGAACATTAGTAAGTGACGTTTAAGATGCCGTCAGCAGATCAGAGAAAAGGGAATTAGCAATAACTTACCTCACTGATGCTGGGTATGTAATCCCTTTATGAGGGCAATTTCCAAGGACTTTCGCTTCATTCCCACCAATGATGCCATCGCAATCTACCAAATGCAGCGAACGGTCGAAACACAACTTGATCTGGGACAATTCATGCTGTTTTGTTTTCTGGAATGTAAAAAATACAATTGATTCCATGGAACAAATTTTGAAGGAAGAACAAAAAGAAGAGGAGAAGGAAAAGGAGGAAGAGGAGGAGAAGGAAAAGGAGGAGGAGGAGGAGAAGGAAAAAGGAGAGGAGGAGGAGAAGGAAAAGAAGGAGGAGGAAAGGAGGAGGAGGAGGAGCAGGAGGAGCAAGAGGAGGAGGAGGAAAAGGAGGAAGAGGAGGAGGAGGAAGGAGGAGCAAGAGGAGGAAGAAAAGGAGAGCAAGAGGAGGAGGAGGAAAGGAGGAGCAAGAGGAGGAGGAGGAGGAAAAGGAGGAGCAAGAGGAGGAGGAGGAGGAAAAGGAGGAGCAAGAGGAGGGGAGGAGGAGGAGGAGGAGGAGGAGGAGGAGGAGGAGGAGGAGGAAGGAGGAAGGAGGAGAGAGAGGAAGAGGAAGAAGGAAGAAAGAAAGAAGAAGAAGAAGAAGAAGAAGAAGAAGAAGAAGAAGAAGAAGAAGAAGAAGAAGAAGAAGAAGAAGAAGAAGAAGAAGAAGGAAGAAGAAGAAGAAGAAAGAAGAAAAGAAGAAGAAAAGACATTAAGAACAAAAAAAAAAAAGACATGAAGAAGAACAAGAAAAAGAAAAGACATGAAGAAGGAGGAAGAAGTTGAAGACAGAGATATGGAAGAGGAAGAAGATAAAGAAAACATGTGGAGGAGGAAGAAGTAGATGAAGAAGAGGATCTGGATGAGGTAGAAGATGGAGAAGGCATTGAGGAAAAAGAAGATGAAGGAAACATGAAGAAGTAAAAAGAGGGTGAGGAGGGGAAGGATGAAAATATTATGAACACACTGAGAAGGAAGAAGTGGAGGAGGAGGAAGATGATCAAGAACACATGGAGGAGAATTTAGCAAGAAGGAGAAAAAGGACAAACAGAGGAGGGAAGAGCAGAGAAGAGAGAGAAAGCGAGTTGGAAAGGACACAAAAAGAAAAGATGGACTCCAAGATAAAATAAATATTATTTTTTTTTACAATGTGATTCAGTTATGGGAAAAGCAAGATAACAAGCTAATAACTGAGAAGAGAAAAAAGAGAGGAGAAAGATGAAAAGAGAAAGACAAAGAGCCTGTCACACAAACTTACCTTATTATAGATGCAGTCAATGGAAGGATCCACGCCAAACATGTCCTTAACTGCTGCAAATATGGCCTCTCTTGTGTACGTCTGGACATCATCTGGATAGATTTTGTGCTGCCCCAATACAGCTACATAGTCATACTGTGTCACCCATTCCAGGCCTAGAACAGAATTCAAGAGAGTTAAAAAAAGAAATAAAAAAAAGGTTAACGGTAATACAACAAAATAAATATGCTAGACAGCAAAGCTAATATAGCAATATGGAGATGTTTAATAGTGAAAAGGGTAAAGAGTGGAGTTGGTTGATATTTAAAGGTGCTACATGTTGGAAGACATATAGCAGTTCAGGAGGATTGGAATTAACAAGGCAATTAGATCAAAGATGTCAAAGGGAGAAGTGTGAAACTTTACTAGGAAGTTCATATGGTAATTTTGGGATTGGCAAAGGTGAGAGGGGTTTAAGGGCAATTGGATCATAGTTTTAAGAAAAATGTCAGGAGAGAGAGAAACCAGTAAAAAAGGGCCAAATCCAGGCAGAAGCAGAAGGGATAATGGGGAATTAAGGAAGGAATGGGATATGTAGGGAGGAAGGCGTGTAGGAGGAACATGAGTAGAAGGATGGATGTTGGCAATTACTTTGAGTGTGGAAGCAGAGAGATTGGAGGATGAAGGAAGTGCACGTACAGACAGACCTGCGCATGCACAAGACCTGTTGACCCACACCTTAAATGCGAATACCTTACCCATGGCCATATAAAGGCACAAAGTCATCCTTTCATCCTTTCAACACAACTCTCACATCTTAGGAAGTGGATAGTACAAGGGGTTACAGAAGAGAAGGAAACAAAAAGGGGAAGGGAAAAAGACAACAGGCATGGCATTGGGGAGTTCGACATGAAAGAGAACCAGACATCTGCTTGGATACTAGAAACATATTCGCAGTCTGAAGGACCTGATTGCCTGCCTTCTTGGGTGATCTTAAGAATGGAAGTTGTTATAAGCATGCCCTTTGGTGGCAATGCCTTTTTTCAGCAGAAATTTTTTGTAATTCTATGTTCTTGATAAAATCAACATTTTGTTACTTTATGCTCTATAAACTTAAGTTGCTTTATATTCTTCATTTGTTATTGTAATATTGCTAATGGTCTCAGAACAGAGTTTATTGTAATAAATTTACAAAAAAGTTATGTATAAAAATTTTCTCCTTTGCAATCTGTCAATATTGACAATTATCGAAGAAAACAGTTTCAGAGGGATAACTAATATATTTTATTATTTAGATATGAAAGTCGATGTAGGCCTAGTAAATGAGAATGATTAATCTTTTTATCTTTATGTACATGCATTCACGTACATATGATCCTCCTCGAAAATTCTAAACACCCAGTGACCATCTCCCCTTCCCTCCCCCACTATTCAGTAAAGAACTGTGGTAGTTAGAATGTACCAAAGACGAAGAAGAAAAAAAAAAAATCAACTTTTTGGGGGCAGCGAGGTTAAAATTATATATGAAACAAAGCGCCATTCTATGCTCTATATAATGCAAAAAGAATCAAGCAGTTATCTCTAAGCGATATTTT